CAACTCTTAAATAATTCATAATGGCAAGAATCAGAATAAATGCTAAAAACCTGCCAATCCAAATAGGAAAACACAACTAAGTCAATGCTTTGGGCAATCAGAATCTCAAAGTACTATAAAAATACCTATTTCGTAGTCGCAAAGATGAAAGTGGATGTCCATGGAATGTAAATCCACTTTCCTTAAACAACACTTTGGGATTCAGGACCCACCTCAATAGGATGCAATAAAAGAAAGGGATGACGCATGGGCTAAGATAGAACAGGTGATCAAATTGCCAAGTGCACGGATAACCTGAACAGCAGAACCACTGATCTCACCGCCTGTAGAATTCAGTATGTCGCCAGTGAAGCCTTTGAGAGAATTGTAAGCGGAACGAGACCAGAGCAACACAGCCAGAAAATCTTCCAATGCCCAGACATAACATAATTACAACGACCATTAACAAAAATAAAATAATTCCTCATAATGTTCTAAACTGGCGTACAAAGCAAACACGACCTCTCGAACATGTATTTAACAGAAGACCCTGATACAATATCAGTTAACCCATTCTACAAAACTGGTGAATTGTGAAATTGTTCACTTACGACGATTAGCAACGAAATATTAAATGAATGAGACGTCGGTGTTGCTATTGCTTTTAAGAAATATATAAAGCACATACTTCAGTGAGGATTTCCCTGCGGTTGAACTGGAAACAACTCGAGGAAATTTCGGTCTCGGGGACGGCTTATATGCCACCTAAACAACCCAGTTCCCATAGCTGGACTTAATGAAAATAATCAGGAGAAAACAGACCTGAATGCTCGACATCGCACACTCGGCCAAAATAGCAATAATCATATTGGCAGTGAGTTGTAAACTTAATCCATCGGAATGCTATCACACACATTTGTCCAGACTTGACACTTACATAGGCAAGAGGGAAAGGCCGACCAGACATCATATCAAGTAATAAGAATATTCATATAAACCAACAAGGACCCCTAACTACATCAGATCTTATCACCAGTCATGATCCCGCAAACAAATATTTATAAAATGACGGACTGGGAATCGTTCAGAACAATGTATGAACCAGCTCACAAAAGAACACACAGTTGACAAATGATACATAGATTCGAAAATTAATAACTGGTATTCAACTATTGAAAATATAAGGAATACAGTAATTCCTAAGAAAAAAATACATAATTTTACCTCACCTCTTAAAAGCGACCGTGTTATGCTGCTACAATGGAGATACAAAACATTTTAGATATCACTGAACATCTCGGATGGACACGGGTTCTTCGCAGCCAGTACGAGCAGGAGGACCAGAAGGAAGAAAGCAAAAGGTTATCCACTAACCACTGGAACAAAGCTATACAAGAAACTAAGATCGAGTGCAACAGTCCTAACAAATCATTGGAAAAAATAAGACGCCTGAAGATAAGCAGCCGTTAAGAAACGCCTTATTCTCTAAACTTCAGGCAGAATAAATATTAGAAGACAGGAAGGAAGAAGAGACGTCTCAGAGTTTCTGGGAAGGGAACTTCAAAATCAACCCTGATGAGAATCCATAACTTCAATTTGCAGCATGAAACCATGGTCGACAATTATCTCACAAACAATTTCCTTTCAAAGGTCATCCAGGCTCCCAGGAACACAAGCCTAAGACAAAAACTAGTCAGACGCCTAGAACAAGACAACGAGCTCTTTGCAAACAACTCCTGGCTGTCCCACACAGCCAGGGTGTTGATAAGCTATGAGCTCAAAGATCAGCTTCTCGCCAAGGGCATGGACTCCCGCCACCCTAACTTTGTCGAAGCCCCGCCGTGGGCACAAACCTCGATAGAGTTCTCAGTAATGAGATTATCACTGAAAAAGGCAGAAACCTACAGGGTCATTGCAGCCATCACCCCTCCGGGTAGTAGAACATACTACACGGATGGATCGGTCGATCCCTTGAACCACACTGCAGGCGCCGGCTTTGCAGCAAGGGATGCCATGCAATCCATGAGGGTAACAGACAACGCCTCCTCGCTAAATGCAGAGGCAGTTGCGATCATGATCATGGTCGCGTCCCTAAGGGAAGGACACATAGTCATACATACTGACTCCAGGGCAGCCATTGACTGTCTTCAGCACAGCTCACCCAAAGACAACATCTACCTCCTGACCATAATGCTGACAATAACCCAAAGAATACTGGCTCAGGGTAGAAGAATTATCATTAACTGGATCCCTAGCCATATTGGCATCAGAGGGAATGAGCTTGATGACAGACTAGCTGTCTCTGGCAGGGGTATGCCCCCTAATCCCATGATCATTAAACCAAGCCGAAAATTACTTCGGGGGAAGGGTACTGGTGTCGCCAAATCCTTCCTCCTGCAGCTTCACAGAGAGGCAACGAGATCCTCCCCCTCGGCCAGATGGTACTCAGAAGCAACAGGCTATGAACCACTGGCACTCTCTGAAATAATCAACAGAGGTACCGAAGTCATTCTTCACAGAAT